ATTTTAATGATCTATGCCTCAAATGTCTCATTTGTAAAATGAAAGCCCACGAGGTGTTGAGGGAAAACGTTAAGTGATATATGGCACAGTACTGTAATAAGGTTTTCAGGACAAACAAATCCCAATCAAGGGTTTATTATGATCAGACCATGAGGCTACGTAATTAGATAATTAGATACTAATACTAAAAACTGACATTTGTAAAGCAGTTTATATTTTTCCAAGCGGGTTCACATCCATTATCTCATTAGGTGCTCAAATTTGCCCAGATTGAAATTTGTAGAGGCAGAATGATGGAGTGTGGTTAAGAACACATGCTCTGAAGCCAGAGGCCTCACTTGCATGCAGCACACTTGTCTGGTGCGACCCTCAGTCCCGTTGACATAAAGGGGGATGGTCACACCTTCTTCACTGGGTCCTTGTGAAGATGCAGTGAGCTAACAGATATCAGCTGCTCTGGATGGCCCCTGGAACTTAGCAAGTACTCAGTAAAGGTCAGCTGGTATTACCGGCCCTTCGCCGTCCTCATCATGTCCCTTTCGTAAACATGGAAGTCTACTAAGTGTTCTGGTCCTGGATTCCTTTCCCCCCAGCCATTGGCATGCTTGTGGCCTACATAATGACTTAGCAATGCCACATGGTAGGCCTCTGGCCTTTCTGCACTATTGCAAAGTATGTAGTTGAATGAAGGTTCACTGTTTTCTGGGACCAATATTTAGCTAAAGCAGGCAAAAATTAGCAACTCCAGAAGAAGTCTCTTTAAACCTGTGCAAACAGAATAAGAGTGTATAATCATGAAAGCTCTAGAATTTCTAGCTCAGTTAAGAAGAAACAGACGATATATTATAGCGTATACGTTAATACGATCTGTGAGTCTGAATTTTTATGTAGAAAATTAACCTTTCAAGCTTTCTACCTGCTGAGGCTGATCTCTGTCCCACTGATGGCAGACAGCAAGCTTCCCCGGCCAAAACCCGGAGCCTGTAAGGAGAGGTTCATTGGAGAAGCCCGAGACATAAAGATTTCTCCTACAAACAAGTTATCTTCTCTTTAGGGGAGACTTTTTCAACCTTAAAATACCGGTCTGTGTATAGGACTTAATGCTGCTTGGATGGCAAACGGCAGCTACTCCTGGATTTGGGGATAGAAGATGAGGATCTGAGTCTCATCTTCACTTTTTCCAAGTGTATGACACTGGCTGACCGACCACTCAGCCTCTCCACACTTCTGTTTGCATTTCTGAGAAATCATGAAAAAGACTCCAGGATAATTTTTTTCGCAGGTTGCTATGTGGTCTCTAGTCAACTGATGAATTAGCAGACACACTGAGATATTATTGAGATACTGACACTACACTCAAAATACATGGCTTCAGTATCTTTCTAGGATCCATGGCAGGTTTTATGCCCCTCAGCAATGTTGTTCCCTTAGACTTTCTCCCCTCTGTCTAGCTGGGACTATTGCGTCTTGATCCTAGATTATACACTCTTATTCTGTTTGCACAAGGAATCCTATTGAGCAGACCCCTGGGCTCAGCTTTGAGGACCATCCCATGATGGGGAAGGTCCATAATGGACCAGAATGGACAGAGAGATCAGTCAGCATAGAGATCTGGAAGCATACACACACCAGAGGGTAACTGTTGCTTTCTGTGACCTAATAGGACATGGTGATCCACTGTTGCTCATAGTTCACGTTTCCTCTGGAACAATTAATTACACTAAAGGCAACATTCCGTTTCCCTGGGTGGAATTTTAAAGCCCAGTCTCTTCTCTCCTCAACTTAAGAAACCCTCTTCCACCATCCTCATCCCGCAGCAGATACGCTTCATATCCTCACGACTGTGGTCTAATATTACCTCTAGCCCAAGCCTCTAGCCAAGACTTGATGGAAAGTCAAAAGTTCTGGAGGAAAAAAGTCATAATTTAAAGCCCAAGACTGTAAACGCTTTCGAAACCTCTGGAAAATTTGTATTTTCTACCTCAATGCACAATAATGTTAATAAAGGTAATCAAGAGTTAGTTATATGTAAATTTTACTTCCATTATAAAGTAATTAAGGATTATCCTATAATTTTAACCTTTTCATATTCTCATATAGCTTTGTTCTCTAAAATTGGAATGAATAAATGCTATTCACTTGAAACCTAGTGAGCAATGGAAATCATTCTAAAAGGCATGCAGTGTTTTGGCTATTATCCTGACTGTTTTGCCCTTGCCAGGTGATATGTCAGTGCTGTAATATTATGATACATTGCTCATTGTTGCAATTACCTTTGTCAGACTGCATCTAGGTTTCATGCTTGAAATGTGTGAACAAAATAATGGGATAGAGAATCTTGGTTTGTTTTTGTTGAGTATTGATCAGATACATGACTGATTCTATAAAAGATGAGCAGATCTGATTATTTATGATGTATATTTCAGGAGCACATAAATCACATTTTTAATTGAAATCCCTTTGAAAAAGGACTTTAAATTGCTACCATAAGACCCTGCATGGAAAGCATTTGTAGGTTTCTGGTGATAATTCTATGAATCTATTCAGAATTTATAAAATTGTAGGACTTGCTAACTACAGAGGCAAGTAAGTTCCTCAGGGCAGAGTGATGCAGTCTTCTTAAAAGGCAAATAACCAGGACACATAGTTCTCTTGCTTTATAGATTATGTCCAACTATTGGGGTGCCTGGGTGGCTCAGTTTGTTAAGTGTCTGCCTTCAGCTCAGGTCATGATCCCAGGGTCTTGGGATGGAGTCCTGCATCAGGCTCCCTGCTCAGCGGGGAGTCGCTTTTCCCTCTCCCTTCCCCCCCGCCCCCGCCCTGCTCATGCTCTCTTGTTCTCTCTCTCAAAAAAGATGTCCAACTTTTTACAAGAAATTGAAGATTTTACTTTACTTTATTTCATTTTACTGACATTTCCAAAAGTCTGTGCACTGTTGTATCTGTTTCAACTTTCAGTACCCTGGAGATGTGCTATCATGGGGGAGGGGGCATGGCCAAGGAAAGCCATCACCTCAGGGTAGAAAGAAATAGCCAAAAGAAGTCTCAGGGGGAAGCTGCCCATTGTCAGGTAGAGTGGGGACCACTGACTTTAAAAGGCCTTTGCTCTTTCAGCAGAGCTCACTCTCCTCCACTGAGCTGTGATCTTCAGTAGGGTAGTGTTCCAGGGGAAAGCCTTTGGCCACAGTTTGTTACTGGTCCCCCAGTACCTCTCTCTTCTTCCTCCTCCTTGCAGTTAGTCACTGTCTGCCCCTGCCCCCATCACCCCAGCTCCTCTTCCTCCCACAGGCTCTCCTATATCTCAGCCTACCCCTCGCCTAGGCATCGTGACTCTGTCTGTCTCTGTGCCTCGAAGTTTCCCCAGCAGCAGTGGGGACAATATGTTCCTGGCATCCACAATGAAACTTTGACTGCACTCCCCATAGAGACATCGTATTTCTGGTGATTAGGCCTATAATACCATCAGTATGGATTAAACGATTTTTTGCAGGCTATTGCAAACTTCACCATCTGGTATATACTGTTTGCTTGGAACTCTATTTTCTAAATTACAAGAAGAAGAATTACAATTGTACTTTTGTTATGCCCTTCATGATGAAATTGGGACTGGTTGGGAACATTTTTATATCCTTGCTTGACTTTTTTCCAGATTTCAAAATACCCAGTCTTACCTGTATTAGTTAATTGGCTTATTATTCAACATCCAGTGGTGAGAATGTATGTTTGCATTGTTCAGAAGCCTCACCGGGGAATTAGAGGGAAGGTGGGGGAAGTTCTTAAATGACAAACGTTACAGGAACTGATGCTTTTTTAAGGAAGACACGTTATTTTTATACAAAAAAGAAAAGGCCTATTGCATGTCAAATCTGTGGTCTCATTTGAAAGAAAGCCATGTTATAGTCCTGAAAAGAAAGAAGTAAGGAACTTGAAATTTGCCCACATTTATTAGAAATGATACTGTGGTCTAAAACAGCCAACGAGGGAGATTAAGGACCGGGTAATGATTATACCATAGTCTATGTGTATATAATTTTGCTCTTTCAAAAAAAGAAGTGACTTTGCACTACGGTTAAGAGAGCATGAGAAAGCTTGGGTTGCCAAGTCCTTCCCACCCGACTCCCTCTGCTCACCCCAGACCCCTCTCAAGCCGCACAATGGGAAATAACAAGTGCATGCACTCTTCCTACTTCTCTGAACTCCCAAAGTGAGTAGGAAATGTGATTAAAGAAATTTGCTTAAATAGACAACAGGCAGACTCTTGCGAGGATCCCATCTAAACAGAATGGAAGAAAATAAAGCACAGTCTCTTATACAAAATATAATTAAATAATAAGGCCCGGCACTGATTCTCATTTCTCCATCACTTGTAATATCAGTCACATTAGCAGCACCAACTTTAACACTGTATCCTCTCATTGTTCTCCTACTGTGATGGCAGAGATAACCAACAGTCGGATATCAAGTGAGATCAGGGTGAATTCTACATTGTTTGAAGACCTATTAATATTTTAAACATTGTCTATTCTTCAGGCATTGAGGTATTACATCACTATACGATACAATTTGCCACTGATGGGAAGGTTTCGAGTGTTTTAGCATCTTGATAATTAAGTAGGCGATATAATTATATTGACACAATTAACATGAACCAAAAGATAGACTTTTAAATTATTTCAAATGTTTCTGATATTGTGTAATCCAAAAATAACTGCTGGATTAACTAATTTGTCTCAAAAGAAATGTCTCTATGTAGGTCAGGATGAGATCATTTGAAAAAAACTACTCTTTTTGAGAACTTTTAAACCGCCAAAAAAAAAAAAAAAAAATCTCATTTAAGAGCCGGAGTCAAATTATATGGTCATTTTAGTTCTCAGAATTCAAAGCATAGATGGCTGGAATCGTGTGCGTGTGATAATTCTAGGCTACTCTCAATAAATAATACATGTCATTTCTGCTTCAGTGGGGCTGTCACTTACTGCTCTAAATGACTTTCAATGCAGGGCCCAGCCTGCTCTCCCAGAGTGCACTTCAGCTCAATTCCAAACCTGAAGGGTCCTTCCAGTATCCGGCCAGCTACCATAGCAACCAGACCCTGGCCCTGAGTGAGACAGCCCCTTCGCAGCTCCCCGCCCGAGGCACGCAAGCCCGAGGTGCGGGCCAGACCTTCAGCCAGGTACGTGTGGGGATGCGCGCCTCTGCTGTGTTGGTCCCTGGGCTCCGAGGGAACAGGTGGGGAGCAGGGCTGTGAGCCGCCTGTGGTGTTCCCTCCTGCCTTTCTTAGGCATGCCCCATAACTTAGGAGAGATGCCTCCAGGGCTGTGAGGGAAGGACATGAATAATAAAATATGATTATTGAGTAACACTGAATTGTAGATCTTTGCTTGAGGAGTGTCTGTGAATCACTCGGGCTGTATCCGCTTTGTACGTGCTGATCTCCGTGAATGTGTGTCTAGTTACTATTCTGTGTCTCTATGGGACATAAATATGACATGCGTTCTGAGTTTGTGAGGGCACCTGGGACAAATTTTTTTCTCCTAAAAAAAAAAAATAAAAAGCATGAAGTTATTCTTTGGGCTTCTTCATATCAAGGAACGTAGCATTAATGCATAATCGAGTACACAGAACTCTTCCGAAGATAACTGACTTTAGAAGTAGTTACTCTTTGTCAAGTGTGATTTTGAAATGTGCCTGTAATTCTTTAAAGCGTGCACTTAGCCCTGTGGTTTCAGAGCACAGATTTATCAGGTGCCGTTAAGATCGGCTCTTGGTAAATGAAGTAGCTACTAACCTGAATTCTTTCTTTCAAGAAAGATGTAAATGTGGTTTACATGCTAATTTGGGGGTGCAGGCTATATTGGGTCGACCCACCAGAATTAATATGTTGATTGGAGGGCTATCTTGTTTTTTTAAGCTGGTTTAAATTTACTTTAATCTCTGTGTTTTTGCTCCTGGAATGAAGAACCCACAACCCTGAAAGTATCCCTATCAGCTGATGGGCTTAACTTCATGCTTTCTGCATTAATGCATAGTACCTCTGCCAGAAGCCTTCCCCAGCCACTTTACCCATCCTGGGCTCCTTTAACAATCAGACCTGTCCATCGCTATCACCAGTTTGTTGTTACGATGCATCCAAGAATCTTTCCAATGAAATTAAAATCTGTTTGAGGGCAGGACTGTTTTTAGCCTCTATCAGCAGCCCCTAGCCATCCCCACGGCCCCCAAGAAATGTCTGCAGACAGGAGGCAAGGTGAGCTGGAATGGCATAGCACAGTCACCATGAGATGCTTATTTTTGGTGACATGGACACAAGTGAAGCATAAACTGAAAGGTATCAGTGCATTTCAATTATTAAATTATGGCCTCAGCAATGTACTAAAAATATGAGTACCTTCTTCAAGCAACACTCTTGTCCATCCGTGGCGTTGTGACTTTTATCTTCTTGTGATGCCAAGCTATAGGATATGTGAATAAGAGGGAGTGGTAAATAAAACATTCCACGGAGAACAATGGCTTGTTCCCCTGTTGTGGTCCAGTGTGGACCCTGGTTCAGTGCATCTGTTTGGATGGAGAATGGAGGTGTGTGGGGCTTGAGAGGGATGGGCCCTGAAGTCACTGAGGGCAGGTCACATACACAGAGGCGACCCCTGGAACTCAGTACTGTTTCCCAGATCCAGGATCACTGTTCTATAAAAGCACCGGTCTGTCTTACCTCCCTTAAAGAAATGTGAAGGGATCTGTGAGGGAATCTCTAAAACTGGTTTTTAGTTTATTAGAAAAAAAATTGTATGTACAAATATACATGCATTTATCATAAACACAAAATAGTCTTTATTGCTTCATGACAGAAGAACATTATATGATATTTGAAATATTGGGTGTTATTAGCATAGGAAATATCGTTAGATTTTTTTTAATCTCATTTTACTTTATTAAAAGATGAAATGGAAGTGATACGATTTTATTCTGTAGGTTTAGATTTTTTTTCTCTCTCAAAAGCATCCTATTCTTGAAAGGAAGTATTTTTCTTCTTCTCATCTATACTGACTCTCTTTGACCATGATACACTGATTGTGGTAGAATACACATGATTTTGAATTCTTTGGAAGCACACAAGTGGATTAGAGCCCTTCTTTTATCCTTTTATCTGGCTATACATCTAGATCCAAGAGGCCACATTCAGAAATAAGGAATATTTTATATTCAAATTAACCTATGAAAGCTATGATTTTAGCTTTTACCAATTTCCTAGAACTTCTAAGACATATAGGTAGTAAAACAATAAAGTTCTACCTTTTTTTTTTTAAATCTTGAACTCACTTATTACTCATGTTTGGCTTTTTTTTTTTTTTTCTAATATAAATATCTAAGGCTCCTGTAATTTGAGTTGAAAACATTGAATCAAATTTTTTTAAAAATCTGTATTCCCATAGCTGAGCATCATGGAAAATAGAAATGTCAGTATAAAATGAAAAATCCGTTAACTTATCAGCTCATCTGTGAGCATCTTGTAAGCTCAATTCACACGTAGCTATGTAACAACTAGCTATTAAATGTTACAGCAAAGCTTTCTTATAAAATCAATAGCTACCATTTATGGAGCATGTGGAAGTAATCTGTTTGACATGCATCCTCTTACTCAGTCCCCACAACAGGGCTATATTAGCATATTGACACTTTAAAGATGGGGAGACTCCAGCTCATTGCATTTAGAGATGTTGCCACACACCATTTTAAGGCAGCAGTCGTGAAAATGGACACAAAGTCTTGACTGAAGTGAAGTCTAGTGATTCCAGCAGTGTTTCAGAGGTTTCCTTTTATTATTGACCAATTCAATTAAATTCATCAGCAGCTTGAACCTATTAACAGGTCTATACATGTGGACAAGCAATATGGCGGTTTATCTACTTCCGTGTTGTAGGAGTTCTTCTTGGAGCTAATTCTGTCATCTGCTAATTAGCATGGGAGTAAAATAGTAGAAGCTCAGAATGACAGGATGGGGCCTCACAGTAAAAGTCCGTTTTAAAGTTTAATCAGAAAGTGTAACAAAGTTGTAAAGATATCAAAGCTATGGAATTGAAGTCATCAGAGTTAATAGTTTGAAGACATCTATAAATGTTCTATTTCATGTTCAAGGTGATAACGTAAGTTCGAGGCGAAAGTGACTGGCATGCTCATTTACCCTGGCAGGTGTCTGGATGGAGAAGTCTGAACATTCAAAACAGGGGGTTGTTCTAATCCACTCGATGAACAGGATTGAGGCCACTGGCGAATATCTAAATCTTATTTATTTTACTAAGTGGTGGATCTTGGTACAGTGCTTTTAGCTTACTTTTAGCTTTCACGTGCTGCAGTATGAAAGGCATGTTTTCTTGAACACCCCATAGGACCTGTGACTTCCAAATAATGTCAGAGAAGGGTTGAACAAGTAAACCAGTAGGTTTATTCTGCATTTAGCATTATGCCTTGAAATTAGGGAGGCCACATCCCATTCCGATAACATCTCCCTTGTTCAGATCATCTTGGGATGATCCCTCTGTTCTAGTGGTTTTGCTGAGCCCCATGACACATTCTTTTCAACATTCCGAGTGGTATAAAAAGGTCATTTCTTTGAGGCTGGATTAATTTTTAGAATACCTTGTAGTTAGAAAGTGCCAAAAGGGCTAGCGAAGTTCAAATTATTGCCAGCAGATGCCAGACCAAGTTAACAAGGTCAATAACCAATCAACACGAAGGATTTTTTTTTTTTAGTCTAAAAAATATGTGTAATTCTAAATTAAAGCAAATGGTTTTCTGTCTGGCTCATAAATCATGTCAGAATGCAATTTCAAAGGAGTATCATGCATGTTCAAAGAATCTAATTTCAATTAAAATTAAAAAAAACTCTAGTTTATTCAACATAATAAGTATTTGTGGAGAGATCATCAGCAGCATCACCAGGCTCCACACCAGGCCTCGGCAATACATGCAAAACCTACAATTGCCCCATCATATCAGTCCACAGGTAAAACTATAAGGCGCAAAAGGTGCAACAAAATATTAATTCTCTGGTGTTACCCAAACTAGAATCCTTGAAAGTCATTCTCCTCAGACTCTAGGTTGAGTTCATGGGGCTGGAAGACACAGAAGGTAAGACCCTTCCCATCAGACCCCAAGGCCTTTCTGGGAAGTAACAATGAGCCAATTTATGTTTATCCATTCCCCCCACCCTGCAAGCTCTGTGCCCCAGCCTCAAACAGGCTATGTAGGTCACGCCTCCTTCTCCCCCTCCATTCCCCCCTTCTCCCTCCAAGTTAACCTTGGCCTTTGTGTGACTCTCGTGAGGTCCCCCAGTTAAAATAGAGCTGCTTTTCCAGGTATATCTGTGTATCTATGGGTTATTCTTTAATGCATCCAAGATGCTTTGTGTGCCTATTGCATGCCATGAGCTGTCATGTGTTCAGGATGAAGAAATAAAGAAAAGAAACGCAGTCCCCATCCTCAAGGAACCTAAATTCTAGCAGCAGCCATGAGAACTCAGAAAACCGACACCGGAAATAAGTAAATTACATAGTTTGTTAGAAAGTGATGATTTCTGTGAGGAGGATGTGATGCCAACCAGGGTAAGCAGGATCCAAAGTGCGGGATGGGGTGTGACCGGTGGGGCCTTGTGCAGAAGGTAACAGCCGGGAAAGACCTGAAGGCAGAGAAGAGAGGCAGCTAGCTGTATGGCGGTCCTGGGGAGAGCAAATGCAGTGGCTCCCGGATGAGGCGGCCTCGCATGTTGACAGAACATTCTGCAAGGAGGCCAAGGTGGCTAAAGCCCCGGGTGCAGGAGTTTTCGAAGGGTTGGGAAACCCAGTGGATTATTGTGAGGATCTTGTCTTTTACTCGAGGAGGCGCAGCATGGCCTGACTTATGGGTTGACAGCATCATTCTGTCACATCACAGAAAACACCCTATAGTTAGTTGCAGATGAGTTTCTTCCCATCAGATGGCCTTGCTGCAGGAGCAGAAACCAGACACAGCTGATCTCCGTATTGCAAGTAACTGGCCCAGGGTTCACCAAGCATTCATCAGGCTCCTCCAACCCCAGCCTTATTCTGGATAATCCTTCTGCAGAGGTTGTGGGTAGAGAGCAGATCGAGAAGCTGGCTCTCCTCCAGGCTTTGTCTACTTCTGCTCACATAATGTTTC